CCCCCAGCCTGGGGGAATGGGATGGTGCTTTTGAGCATAACAGGGAAACTGGGGAGGAGTGGAGTTTGGAGAGGGACAGCAATGATGACAGTTATGAACCTGTTGAGTCTGATATATTGAGAGACATCCAGGTGGAAATGTCCAAGAGACACTTGGAGATGAGCAGCTCTAGTTCAGAGGGAGGCCAGGGCTGGGGCTATAGCTCTGGAAATCACACATGGAGAGATGACCATGAGAACTGAGGAGATCTTCAAGTGAGAGAGCAGACAGTGATGAGAGAAGAGAACCTAGGCCAGTCTTAGAGGATGTCCAAGACAGCATGACCCTAGCAAAGGAAAAAGAGGAGAGGTCAGCCGGATAAGAGAACCAGGAGAGACCAGGGTCACAATCAACCCACAGAGGAGAGAGTGAGTGATGTATCAAAGGCTACAGAGAGGTCAAGGAGGATGAGAATTGGGAAAAGACCATTAGATCTGGCCATTAAGAGATCACTGATGACTTTTAAGAAAGTAGTTTCTTTAGAATGATGAAGTTAGAAGGCAGAGTGCAGAGAGATTAGAAGAAAATTCGAGGACCAGTTGTAGGCCGTTTCTCAGGTGGTTTAGCCAAAAAAGAGGAGCGACACAGGAAGAGAGTTATCTGAGATGGTAGAGTCATGGGAGGTCTGCTTTTTTCTTTAGGCTGGAGAGACTTCAATGTGTTTCTGGGTAGCAAAGATATATCAGTGGATAGGGAGAAATTGCATATTAGAGAGGGTGGGGACAGTTTGACAGAGAATTCAGGACAAGATTAAATCAAAGGTGCATATGGAGGGGTTGGCTCTAAAAACAATGAGGGCCACATTCTCACTGGAGACAAAATGAAAAAGGAGAAAGTGGGGTAAGATACATGAGTGATATGAGATGAGCCAGAGGAGAGAGTGGGAACTCTCAGACAAGGGACTCAGTGTTTTTTAATGAAATATGAAGTGAGGACTTCAGCTGAGAGGGGTGAAAGGGGGTGCTGTGGGAGGCTAGAGTAGAGATGGGCTTTGGAGCAGGCACTGTGGTAAGTGGAAGAGAAGCAAGTAGGGAAGAAGAGAATGTTTCTCTTGCTTTATTGAGAGCCCAGTTGAGATTATTTATCATTAATTTGTAGTGAGACTACATATACATAACTTCCTTTAGCTCAGTTAAGCAGCATGTCAATAGAAGATGGGTGGTGAGGGAAATCCAGAGCTAGGGTTTGTCAAGGTGCAATAGATGATAGGACAAGGAGATAAGAGATTTGAGGGCAAAAGATACTGTAGACTTGAATTGATTGGCCAAGGAGTAAAGAAAAGAAAAAGGAGGAGAAAGCAGCAAGCCTAAGGGGTGATGGTTGAGGCAAGACATGGAAGGACTGGAGGTCAAGGTAGGGCTAAAGGGCAGAGATAGGACACACAAGGCAGAGGGGAAAGGGAATAAAAAACCCATTATGATTGGATAAAAGGATTTCCAATTTTCTCAACAAGGAAGTGGAACCTGTGGGCAGTAGTAAATAAAATCAAAGCTATGACTATCTCTGGGAAAGACATACTTCTTCCCATTGCCCCTCCCCCTCAGCAAGAAACAATTAAGCTTGCCTGGCTCATGTTATTAAAAAGAGCTGTCTGCTAAACTTGTTCACTCTTTGTTTTCAAAGAGAACCGATGATGTCACGGGCTGATGTCTTAGAGACTTTATTGGATTGAAGTGAGGCAGAGCTGTGCAAAGTCATCAGCCTCACTTTCTCTTCCAGAATCATCACAGTGCAGTGGCAGGACAAAAGTCAGGATGGCTGGTGATGGCTGGGGATGCAGGGGATGACTTTGGTGTCTTTGATGTCTGAACAAGTTCTAAGGCCACCCATGCTGCCCGGGAAAGTCTTTAAGCGCTTGGGTAGACACCTCCTTAATTCACTGGTGGGTTTAAGGACTGTCGGTTACCCTCAGCGGGAGTCAGCCCACCTGCTGAAATGGTTCTACTGGGTGTGGTCACTTCTCAAGCTACAGCTTCTTGAAGCCGGGAGTGAGAGCTAGATGGCAGGTGGACACCAAAGGTGGATGACTCGCCCTGAGAAGTGCTCGGCAGCCCTCACGGCAGAGGGGCTAGTCTTCCTCAACACCTCAGACACCATACCCCACACACTGGAGATGGAAAACAACTTAGAAGTCAGCAAATCCCATTCCTTCTTTTTACATAGGAAGAAACTAAGGCACAGAATAATTTACGTGACTTTTGTAGAGTCTCACAGCTAGTGAATGTCTGAAACAGGATTTGAACTCAGGTCTTCCCAACTCCAAGTTCCATGCTGCATGTCTTACCCCAGGCTACTGTTGTGAATAAATACTTGCTCCTGTGATTAACATCCAAGTTCTGTTTGTTTATCATTCTCATTGTCAGTATGGCCACAATTTAAGAACAAGAAAAAGCTATTTAGAGAGCATTGACTACTAAGTATTGGGAGAGACCAACAGGGTGGCCTCCCTCCTACTTCAGCTTGGCCTCACAGCAGCTGTGTCAGGTGAGGCGTCTGAGGGCCAGAAAGGTCAAGTGACTTGCTTAGGGTCACACAGCCTGACCCAGCTCGTCCTGACTCTGGCACCGTGCTCCAGCCACCGTGGCCTCCTGTCTTTGTCGAGTCATTAAGGTGTTTCACCAGCTTTCTTCTCCCTTGGCATCTCTCGCTTTCATTTCTTAGTTTGAATTTTTGAATCCCTCCCCACGAGCAGAGGATTGCTCATTGTTCTCTTTCTCCTTTCTTTTTTTTTAATTTTCCAGAGTAACTACAAGGGTGAAGTCAGAAGGGAAGAACAAGGCAGCCCCTCACCCCCAGCCCCTCCTCCCACCCAGGCTATTATCTCCTCCAAAGTGACAGCTGAAAAGTTCAAGTGGACTGGCCAGGTGAATTTTTTATGGCTCCAGAAACCTGGTGTAGAAGAAGAAAAATAGGATTTGGCAGGTGCGCATCTGCCTTCTGGCAATGAAGCCCACGTGTCCTCTCGGAGGTGGAGGTGATGTGAGCGTGAAAGTCTCTGTTAAAGCTAGCCCAGGCCAAGCTGATGCCTGACTGCTCCCTCTTCTGGATGCCAGGGGCCTCCAGCCCCTGTGGGCAGTTAGGGTTTCACCCAACCTGGCTAAGGAGCTCCAAACCCGCCTTTATTTTGGTAAGAAGCAAGGATTCCAAGAGCATTAGCCTGGGGTGGAGTCTTCTGTAGGGCTCGTGAAACTGGACCTGCTGTGGGTCAATTCAAAGTCTTTCCTTTCCACGTTGTCCCCTCTGCCTGACTCCTGTATTACGGTCTCCATCCCTGAGGAGGACAACCCAGCTGTCCTCCAACCTCCACTTCCCACTCTCTCCTAACCCTCATCTCTGCTCTGCTGCTCTCTCCTGTCATTTTTACCTTGGCAGCATCTCTTGAATGCCCCCTTCTCCCCTCTGACAGAGCTGCACCCTGGGCAGGCCCTCATCCATCACCTCACCCCTGGACTTTTGTCATAAGTACACTGATGGTGGGTCTGTTTGTCTCCAGCCTCTTCCCACTCCAGGCCTTCCTCCTCTCAGCTGCTAAAGCTCAGGTCTGACCATGTCACACCACCCACCTCCCCTCCGGAAATCCCAGTGGCTCCCTGTCATCTTTAGCATCAAAGAGCAATCGCTGTTTGGCCTCTAAAGCTGAGCCTTCACAGCCTGCTCCTTTCCCTGCCCTTCTCACACTCTGCTCGCCTGTATGTGCACCTCAATTAGCGACATTGGCCTCTGTTATCCCTCACACCCCACACTCCATCTCCCAGCTCTAGATATTGTCACCCACTCTCCACTAGGCATAGAATGCTCTAAGTTTCCTGCCTTTCCTGATAATCCCCTCTTCTCTACAGAGGTAATTCTCACTCTCCTTCCTCCCCCAGGGCTTTCCTTCTGGGATTACCTCCAGTTTTTCCTGTGTATATCTTTTATGTATGTAGTTGTTTTCATATTGCTTTCTCCCTTAAGAAGTGACCTCCTTGAGGGCAGGGGGTGTTTGCTTTTGTCTTTCTTTTTATGCCCATTGCTGGGGATAGTGCCTGGTGCATTTAATAAATGCTTGCTGACTTGACTTGGCTGTGGTTTCTGTGACATTTCTTTTTAAAATAATATTTTATTTCCCCCCAATTATATGTTAAAACATTTTTTTAATATTTTTTAATGTTTTGAGTTCCAAATTCTATCCCTCCCTCCCTCTCTTCCTCCCTCTTCTTCCCCCTGTCTGAGACAGTAAGCAATCTGATATAGGTTACACATGTATAGTCATGTAAAACATCCATATTGGTCATTTTGTACAAGAAGACATGAACAACAAGAAAGAAAGAAAGAAAGAAAGAAAGAAAGAAAGAAAGAAAGAAAGAAAGAAAGAAAGAAAGAAAGGAAGGAAGAAAGAAAGAAAGAAAGAAAGGAAGGGAGTTCAAAAGGAAGGAAGGAAGAAACAAAGGAAGAAAGAAAAAAGAATGAATGAAAAAAAGTAGGAAAGTAAAGAGGGAGGAAAGGAGGAAATGAAAAATAGTATGCTTCAGTCTGTATTCAGACATCAGTTCTTTCTCTGGAGGCAGATAACATGTCTGATCACAAGTCCTTTGGGATTGTCTTGAATCAACATATTTCTGGGAATAGCTAAGTCATTCACTGTTGATAATCATGCAATATTGCTGTTACTGTGTACAGTGTTCTGCTGGTTCTGTTCACTTCACTATGCATCAGTTCACGTAAGTCTTTCCATATTTTTCTGGAATCACCTTGCTTGTCATGTCTTATAGCACAATAATATTCCACCACAATCATATACCACAACTTGTTTCTATTTTATACCATTCCCTAACTAATGGGCATCCCCTAAATTTCCAATTCTTTGCCACCATAAAAAGAGGTGCTATAAATATTTTTGTACATGTGGATCCTTTTCCTTTTTTTAAACCTCTTTGGGATACAGACCTAGAAGTGGTATTACTGGGTCATAGTACGCATAGTTTTATAGCCCTTTGGGCCTAGCTTCAAATTTCTCTCCAGAATGGTTGGATCAATTCACAACTCCACTAACAACGCAGTACTGTCCCAGTTTTCACACATCCCCTCGGACATTTATCATTTTCCTTTCTTGTCATATTAGCCAATCTGATGGGTGTGAGGTAGTACTTCAGAGCTGTTTTAATTTTCCTTTTGTTCTAATCAATAGTATCTATGCCCTTTCTTACGTGCAGTTAAGGATATGTTTGCTTCACAGAGGTTTGTACCTGGAAGGGTGGCATGGTGTGTGCTCTGAAGCTAGTTACCCACCCTGATTCCCACTGACGAGTTAGGTCCCCAGTATAAGACTGGCTCTATCTCCTTTCAGTGTTCTAGTGTCTTTGTCTTTGTCCTTGTGTTGGGAGCAGTTCAGTTCAAATCCTCCTTCAGACACTCATTAGCTGTGGCACCACAGACTGACGAGTCACTTTGATCCTGAGACTCAGTTTTCTCAACTGTAAATTGGAATCTGCAGCCCCTGCCCCCCCCCACTTGTTATGAGGCTAAGAGGATGTATCCAAAGTACTTTGGTTTTAAACCATTAAACAAGGTCTATTGTTTTGTTTTGTTTTTTTCCTGGAAATTTCAAAAATCTGACTGTCAGAGCTGGAAACGCCCATTTCTTGGAATTGCTGGCTATTCACCTGTGCTCAAAGGCAGAAGACGGTGGCCAAGAACTCAGACCAGCCCTGGGTAAGTGCAGCTTTTGCCGCCATGTGCTTGGGGGTGCCATTGGTCCTGGGGGTGGGGGGAGGCCCCCCCATCTTGCTATAGTTTCAAAAAGAGAAGACTTCCCACTTAGATATTGTTGCCATCGTTCAGCTGTTTTCAGTTGTGTCTAACTCTCCGTGATCCCCTTTGGGGTTCTCTTGCAAAGATACTCAAGTGGTCGGCCATTTCCTTCTGCAGATGGGGAAACTGAGGCAAGCAGAGTGAAGTGACTTGCCTACAGTCACACAGCTAAGTGTCTGAGGCCAGATTTGAGATCCCGATCGCGAGTCCTCCTGACTCCCGGCCCAGTGCTCCGCGCACTATTGCGCCCCTAGCGGCCTTCGAGGTCCTCTCATAGTCCACCGAGTGGGTAGAGTTCCTCTCGGCCCAGTTTCTGCGGCTTCCTTTAAGGCTCAGCTCCAGCCCAGCACGTGCAGGGGTCTTGCCCATCCCCCGGGATCCCTCGGAGAGTACCCGCACCTTCTCTATGGAACTGGCTCCTCTTGACCTTTATAGACTCCCCCATAAGAGCAGAGCTCCCTCGAGGCAGGGACTAGCTTCTCCTTCCTATCCCCAGCACTTAGTGTGGGGTCTGGCGCACAGGAGGCGCTTAATAAACGGCTATTCATTAGCTGGCCTCTGAGGCCAGTCATATCCAAGGCAGCCCCACCACCAGAAATCAGCCAGGAGCTGCGGCGTCATCTCAGCCAGGCGAAAACAGTGGGGTCCTGCGGCGGAGGAGCGGAGCGCGAGCCTGGCGGCGCCGTGGGACCGACCCTGGTCCGGCACATCGAGCCCTCCCCGAGCCCTGTTACCCCTGGCCGCAAGGCGAAGGAGACTCACAGGCGCGGGCGCTTGAAGGATTTCCTACGAAACGGAAATAGCTGGGGTGGGGCGGGGGTGTAGGGAGGTTGGGGTTGGGGTGGGGGGTGGCTTGTGAGCCGCCTCCAGGCCTCCTTGTCCGGTGAGTTTATGGAGCGTAGGGAGGAGGAAGAGGCTCTTTCCCCCGCCGGGCTAAAGCTGAGGCGCCTGGAACATCCCCAGGAGCCTCCAGAGCTTTTGAGGGGAACGGCCTGGGGTGGAGGCTGTTCGGCGAACTTCTGGGCCTTTCAGGGGATGAGCACAAGCATCTGCGGCCTCCCCCCTCCTCCATGCCCTGAGCTGACGGTGCTTTTAAAGTGTCCCGGGGAGCATGGCTGCTGGCCAGGATCTCTGCACCAAGGGGAGGGGCCGGGAGTGGGGCTCTGTGACTTCTCCGCACCCTGTGCTTGGGGAAGTGCCCCCTCCTCTCTGACTAGGACTGTAGGACAGGGCCAAGGGATAGAAAAGCTCTGGAACTGGAAGGGGTACCAAAGGTCCTTTGGTCCAAGAGGAAACTGCGGTCCACACAGGAGAAATGATCTGGAAAAGGTCACAGCGAGTTCTAGAGCCGGAAGAGATCTTTGCTCTCAAACAACTCAACCCCTTCATTTGACAGATGAGGAAACCGAGGCCAGACATCTCTGGATAAGGACCTGGAGCTCTAGAGCAAGAAGGGACCTTTCAGAGTTGGAGAGTCAAACAGGAAGGAAATGTCAAAGTCGGGGTTCAAACCGTGTTCTGTGACTCCAGACCCAGCAGGAAAATCACACTGAACGATCCCAGGCCAGACAAAGCTTTGGGTTATTTCGCATTTGCTGATGTAAAAACAAAACTTTTTTTTTCATTTTTGGATTTTTTCCAGCTAGATGAAGTTAAATTTTAATGTGCAGGCCTGCGCGCACACACACAGACACACACACACACAGACACACACAGACACAGACACACACAGACACAGACACACACGCACACACACACACACACAGACACACACACAGACACACACACACACACACACACACACACTGCTCTGTACTCCTCATCACCTGTCAATATTCCTGTCCTTACCCAGCGAGCGCCATGCCTGGGAGCCAGCCTCCGCATGCTTCTTTCTGCCTGAAGTTCTCCCTGATTCACAGCAGCTGGCAGCATTGACTCAGTGAAATCCCCATCCCTGGTGAGCTCCTCTTCTCGAGGTGGGGAGAGGGTGGGCTGGTTTCTGATTCTCTCTTGACATTCCTCTCCTCTGCAGATAAACAGAAAGACTGAGCTCCTGTGAAGTGACAGGATCAGATCTAAGCAAAACAGAAACCAACCTTCAAAGAGCTAAGATGCGGCTGCCACCTCCCCCTCCCAGCCCCAGGCCCCCAAAGTCTGAGATGCTGTGAAGTGATGGATGCTGTACTGGACTGGGAATCAGGAAGACCCAGGTTCAAATCCTGCCTGGACATTTCATAACTATGTGACTCACTTAACTTGTCCAAGCCTCAGTTTCCTCATCTGTAAAATGGATTCCATTGCATTTGTACCCCTTTACTTGTGGGCTGTTTGTGAGAATTGGAGGAGACAGTGTCCTTAAGGTGCTCTCCAAATGCCAGTTAGTATTAAGGAGAGACAGTGGAATCCTTTTGGGCATGAGACTTCCCAGCCCCTTTCCCCCCATGCAGGAGAACTGCCAGGGATGAATTAATGCAGACTCTGCATGCAAGCTTCATTTGTTCACCAGAGCTGAGGACTGAGCAATATGCAGAAACCCAGCCTGGAGACAAAGGCCTGATTGCCACTGGAAATCCCTTCTCTGCCTGCAATCCCAGGGCTGACTAGTTCTGCACTATTGTGAGAAGATCTTATATTGTCCTGGTGAGGTGAAGCCCCAGTTATGCAAAGGGCAGAATGAAAGAGCTGTGGGTGTGAGGTTACAGATCCCATCTGGGCTCTGGATTTCAATCCTCAAAGTAAATAAAAGGGGGCATCACGATAATTCTTCATAGCTTCGAACAGTTCTATTTTCCTTAAAAATAAATTCTAATAGATTTTATTGATACCTTCTGTTTTATCTACCTAGATTTCCTTCTGTATAAATTGCCCTCCCTTCATCCAGACAGCTATCCCTTACAACAAAGGAAAATCAACATAAAAAAAAAGGAGGAGGAGAAGAAGGATCAGCAAAACAATTAAACATTGAAAAAAACCCCTTTCCTTATAAGCAACATTATGCATTTGTGGAACTCTCCCACCATCCACGGGCGTGGGAGCGCACTCGCGCGCACACACACACACACACACACACACACACACACACACACAGTGCTATAACTATGTTGGTATATATGGAGGTTTTCTTTTTTTGTCAGGGACATCCTTGAGGTATATGCCTAAAAGCGGAATCTCAAGGTCAAAGGGTATGGGTATTTCAGCCACTTTATTAGGATAATTTAAAATTGCTTTCCAGAATGGTTTTCTAATTCACAGCTCCACCCACTATACACAAGTGTGTCTGTCTTTCCACAATCCCTCCAACATTGACTATCCTCATCTCTTATCATCTTGGCTAATTTGCCACTTAGGAGGTGAAATTTCAAGGATGACTTGATTTGCACTTCTATTATTAGTGATTTGGAGCATCCTTTCATGTGGTTGCTAATAGTATGTAAATCTTCACTTAAGAAGTATTTTCTGCCAGCTTGTACAGCATAGATCCCTGTAATCCTGAAACCAAGGAGGCAGAGGCTAGCGAATCTTTCAAGCTCAGGTGTTCTGAATTGCAGTGGCTGATGCCAAGTGGATGTCCACACTACATTTGATGTTAGCTCAGTGAGTTCCCAGGGAACAGGGTGCCACCAGGTTCTCTGGGGAGAGGAGAACTAACCCAGATTAGAAACTGAGCATGTCAGAACTCCTGTGTCAACATTATTGAGCTAAGAGTAGCCCCTACATTTCCAGACTGGGGAAAATGGTGAGAACTGGTCTTAAACAAACAAACAAAAACAAAAACAAAAAAAGAAAAAGAAAAACAAAGAAATGATTGCTCACAGCCTTTGGCCACTTATCTGTGGGAGAATGGCATTTGATTTTATGTATTTGATTTTTTTCCATCTCTATATCTTGGATGTGAAAGATATTTAATATAAAGATTGTTCCCTGGTGTATTGTTTTATTCTAGATTCATTAATTTTGTTTGTGCAGCAACTTTTCAATTTTGTGCCATCAAAATGATCTAGTTCATCTTTTGCAATTGTCTCTATCCCTTGTTTGGTTAAGAGTTCATCTCCTCCCCATAACTGGAAAAGCTATGTGGTCTGCTTCCCTTCCAATTTTCTTTTTTCAAACATTTTTTTTCCTCTTCTAACAGTACAATCTTGAAAATTCAGATCACATTTCTATTTTGAATTTATTACGGAATATGATATAAAATATTGGTCTAAGCCTAATTTCTGCCATATACACACAAATACACACATACACCCCCCCCCCCCAATGGACCAGGATGGGACACTAACCACCAGGGAAGTGAGGAAAGGCTACGTGGTCTTTAAGCCCTTTGAGAGCTGGGGCTCTTCTGCCTTCCCTTGTATCCTCAGCACTCAGAGTGTTTAGCACACGGTAGGTCATTAATTGGTGTTAGTTGACTGTCAGACTTGATCTAGTTGGAGGTAGCCCCTGAAAAGAGCTTTAATGGGGTTGAGGGATCTCATGAGGAAGATGAGGAGGGAAGGAGGATGAAGACAGTGGATGGCAGAGGTTTTCAGTAAGCTGGGCAGTTTGACTGTGACCTAGAGAATGTTCTGGGCAATAGGCTAGAAGCTGCAGGGAAAGATAGGCTATAGCCAGATTGGGGAGTTCTTTAGGTGATAAACTGAGGGCATTGTATTTGGTCATAGGGATTGTCTAGAGGTCCTTGACTGGAAGAGGTGACAATCTTGACTGATGTGAATGGGACTCTAAGGTTTACAAAGCACTTCTATGTCACCTTCTTTGGTCGTGGTAACACCGCTGTTCAATGGGTCTCATTATCCCCATTTTACAGATGAGGAAACTGAGGCAAAGAGCAATTTAGGTGACTTGCCCAGGCTCACCCAGCTAGTGTCTAAGGCCAGATTTGAATTTGGGTCTTCCTGACTCCAGGCCCAGCTCTCTATACATTCTGCACTACCTCTAGCTACCTCTAGCAAGAAGAGAAAGCCAGACTAGCTTTAGAAGGAAAGCTAGGCAGACAGTCACTGTCCCAGGACTAGGCAGAGTGTGCAGATAGCCCCCCTTCCCCCCCCCCCAGCTCCTACTCCCTCTGGCAGATTATCTCACTGGGATAATAAAGGGCAGAGTTTCCAAAGTCAACCAACTTGTGCTCATTGGTTGGAACTACCCCACCCACTCTGCTGGGATCATTGCTTAACAGATTCATTAGGATCACGGCATATTTTTAAGCTAATAAAAATCTCCAAGATAAAGGACCGAATGATGTAAATCCAGAAAAGTCCTTGGAGGCCATGTGGTCCAAGCCTGTGATTTTATAGACAAAGTGACTGGGGCGCAAGAATTTAAGTGACTTGTCCAAAGTCACACAGTTAGGACGTAGTCTGCGTGAAGACAACCATTCTCGGCTCTTGCAGAAGAGTTTTAGTGATGTATTTATTGTCTGTGGCTCTTCATCCTTTATGTGGATCTTGGCCCAGTTCTTCTGCTGGCCCTGGGATGTTTGGGCAATGATACAGCCCAGAAAGAGGCAGGCAGTCACAAATGCCCAGGGACTCCCCTTGAGGCAAGATGCCCTGTGTTCTCTTAACAAACGGTGCGTATGATACAAGAATGGCTAATGGTGAGGGCGGTTTATGGTTCAACTGTCCCCACTGTCTGGGGGTTGGGCTCCATCTTGGCACAGGTGATCCTAAGGTCAGGAAAGCATAAGCACGAAAGAAGTGGCCCATCCCAGTTCAGGCTTGCCAAGGTGGCCACGTGCTGTGGAGGCTACGTGCTCATGGTTGCATGGAAGTTAGTCTCTGCCTCCAATATTAGAGACCTTGGGGTCACAGGAGGCCACGTACAGAGTCTGAGGAAGGAAGGCCAAGCTGGGGGAGGTTTATTCTTTTTATCCATGCAGCATACTGCTGCTGTCATAGGGTGAGGAAGAACAAAGCCACCACTCAGGGTTTACACCATCATAGGAAAATATTGTCCTTTCGGCTCTGGGTCACTCTGTATAGACAGGAGCAAAACTCCCACGTGGTCAAAAAAGAAGGATGAATGGCCATTTTGATGGCCCCTTAGGCCAGTTTAACCTTATTATAGAAGAGGACCACAGCTTTAGAGGTGAAAGGGACCTCAAATGGCATCTAGTCTCAACCCCTCATTTTCTTATAATTTCTTCAAAGCCCTCACTTTACAGGTGAGAAACTGAGGCCCAGAAGTTTGGAATGACTCCCCCAAAGTCACACAGATCATAAATGTAGAGTCAGGGTCTGAACCCAGGGATTCTTACTTCTGAACCAGTCATCTTTCCATTGTATTTTTCTGTGGGGAAAAAAATACACAACTTTGGATCAAGAGTCAGGATGCTAATTTTGTGACCACAGCTGGGTCCTAACAACCCCATGACCTAAGCCAGGGAGCTGCAGGCCCCCTCTGATGCTTGCTCCCCGGGTGGTACTGGTCAAAGAGCTTAACTTCCCTGGGCCTCAGTTTCTCCATTCTTAAAAGACCTTATGATAGGAGATGTTAGAAGGCAATAGATAGGTTTGTTTGTTTTTCAGATGAAAGGGCTTGACTTGTGATTCATGAGTTAAGAGGTGTCAGAAGGCATTGAATTGGGATAGATTCAAGGGGCTCCAAGGAAGGGGTGGGATGTGAGCCTGTAATGCTGGCCTGCAGCCTCCACATGATATCTTTGAAACCTGACTGTAAGAAAGAATACAACAACAACAATAACATTCATTTGATATTTACTGTGCTAAGTACTTTACAATGATCTCATTTGAAGTTCACAACAACCTTAGGAGGTAGATACAACTTTAATCTCTATTTTATACATGAGGAAACTGAGGCAATCATAAGTGAAGTGACTTCACACAGCTAGGAAGTGTCTGCATATGGATTTGAACTCAAGTCTTCTGACTCCAGGTCTGGTGCTGTCTCTGTACAAAATCATATGTTTAAACTAGTCGCTTCCAGTGCTAACCTTCTATGGTAAAGCTTGATAGAAGAGCTGATCAGGAGTTTGCTTCAGAGGCGGGCAAAGAAGAGGAGATGAAGAGATGGGAGATGGGAAGCGATGTGAGCAACCCTGATGTAAGGGACAGACCAAGGGACACAGAAGGCTCAGCCAGGGCATTGGGGGAGGTGCAGCTGGAACGGGCACGTTGGGGAAAACCTGGATTGCCGACATAAGGAGTTGGGCATCAGCTTGTAGTAATACTTTGGTGATGAACGAGTGGGTGAATGGACGAATGAATGAAAAATAAGAACATTGAGTACTTGTCTCCTATGTGCCAAGCCCTGGGGACAAAACTGAATGAGTCCCGGCCCCCAAAGTCTTCTGTTTTCTCCACTCTCCATCGTCCTGCCTTGCTGGCAGACCTCCAGTGAGTGGGGCCACCGCTGCCACCTTCAGAGAGCACCCACTGTTTGCAAGTTCCTCCTTGCCTCTTTCTGCCTCTTGCCAGCTGGCCCTTGTTCTGCCACTTGGGGACATGCTGAAGAAATTTAATCCTTAATCTGTGTAGTGTTATTTCCAAGCCTTGGAAGATGCTGTCATGCCCCTTTTTAGCCTTCTCTTTTCCAGGTCAAATGCCCCTAATTCCTACAGCCCATTCTCCTATGGAAGTCAGGAAGACAAATTAAAATCCAGTCTCAGACATTTACTAGCTGTGTGACCCTGAACAAATTATATGACCTCTCTGAATGTCTCTTGTTGTTTTTTATCTGTAAAATGGGGAAAATAAGATTACAACAGCGTCCACCACCCAGGGATACAGTGAAAACCACATGAGATCATTCATACATACATACATACATACATACATACATACATATATTACATATATATATATA